GTACCTGATGATGACAAAACCATGTCGAAACGTTGTACATTTGCTGTTATGTTAAACTTATATTAAAGTTTTTTCTTCATTACCCATTTAAGCCGTCTCCAGCCATTATTAGTCTTAAAGTGGGTTCCTCGTCATCGAATTTAACTAACCTAGGTTATATTCTGGTATATGACCTTGACTGATACAGTTTGGAGAGAAAACAACACCAAAAGCATCTGTATGTTATTTAATTAGGATTGTTCATTGTACATCACATTATACCCACTCTTTTTATTTCATTTTTGAACTCAATTTCATAGAAATCCAGAACTACTCTCTGAAAAATATCTTGAGGAATCTTATGTTATCCAGCAGACCTATCTTATCACACTACGTAAAATCAGTTTTATCTTATGATACTACAACAGAACGCACTTTCATAAAACTAGTACGCAAATCACAATGTTTCATCTTTTATTTCTAAGGTGAAATATTGTCTAAAATTTAATTCACTTTAAGAAAATATCTTAATGAAGTAGCGATATTAAACATTCACATAAAGCTGACAGGATCTGCCACAGTAATGGACCACAAGTCCAAGATAAAAACCAAGTACCCATAAAACTTTTCACTGCCAAGAAAAATATTAAAACATGTCACAGTCTAACGCTCTTCATGTATCTTGTTATTATCGTTAACATACGGTTATACCTAAACCCTGTCGAAGATCCAGTCAGCCTCGTGTAAATGTTAATTCGCTAGTATGTGAAATTGAAATATATGGCTATGGTCATTGTAAATAAAGAGATAGTATACATTGTGGCAGCAAAGTTACTGACAGACACAAGTGTATTCTTTCTACAAGAGATAAGCCCATTACTGACAGACACAACTGTATTCTTTCTACACGAGGTAGGCCCATCTGTTTATCTATCTTTTTTTTATGTATGTAGAATAGTAATACAGTAAATGTATATCACCGGACAAATACAATCATGATTCGAACCGAATAAAGCATTATAAGCACACTTGTTCAATTAAGTCTCTTAAAACTTTAAATAAAGTTGATGGTCAAACTTCCATCCACTGAAATCACATTTTTAACTTGGGAATATGTTTGAATAATTTCTGTCGCTGGTGGATTAGAGTTCAAATTTCAATATTGGATTAGGTTTCTTGATCACCTGAAGCTAATGCCCACTAACTTAGTAATAATAATAATGACGAAAAGTTATTTTAAATTTACTTTTTATGCAAATATTTTCTAACAACCTCAAAAACAATCACAGACGCAGGAAAAGAAAACTGACATTGACAAAATTTATAATGTCGTAATGGCTCTATTACAACTACTATTAAAAATGTTCAATAAATAGATCAATATCAGTCTGAACAACGACTTTAGTTCATAAAATAATGTCAAATATAATTGAGACGCAAAATACTACTACCAAAAAATAAACTAAATCCATAATGCCCTCAGACTTTAGACTAAACTTACCTTTAAGCAGTTTCAGCTTAGGAAAAGACAAATATTAATTTAAAACCTTCGTAAACAATTTCACCTAGCCATTACTGTACTGTACTATAAATACTATAATCGCTTACCTTGTTGCATGTTTCTTCGCCACAAGTCACGCGGTCGTGACGTCAAGTCCGTACTTATGTTCGGGAAGTGCTTTGTTCTCGAACTAAACGAACTCTAATTCATAGTTAGCTATTTTAATACAAAACAAAACATTTTTCACACGTAATAACAATAATAAATAGTTTAAATTCTAGAAGAATAATTGACTTTGAAGGAGGGATACCTGTCTCTTATTCTTTGTTTAACAATAAGCAATTTCTAGTTCGTTAGGTAATCAGCATTGAGTTCCGAGGCAACCCGAGTGACTAAACGAAACCGATGCTGCTTAAAATCATCATTGCGAAACAGATAAAGTTGAAATTGTGAGTTAAAATTGGTTTTTGAATTGTTAGTTAAACACAGATTAAGCTACAAGCTCATTGATAACATTTTATAAATGTTTGTCTCAACTAATTTGAAAGGATGGGTATTCGAAAGAAGATTCTTTTTTTCACGCGGTAGTGGCACTTTATCGTCAAATCTTGCTTATACTTTGTTTGCTTACAGTTAAGCGCAAAGCTACGCAATGGGCAATATGTGCTCACCACGGGTATCGGAACCAGATTTTTAGCGCAGACTTACCGTTAAACCATTTGGTGGTGGTGTAGGGGTGTTTTAAAGCAAAGACACATCGGGCTGTCTGCCGTGTCCACCGAGGGAAATCGAACTGCTGATTTGAGAGTTATAAATCCGTAGACCCACCAGGGAACACTAACGTGTGCATTAATTCTATTAATTTTTAGATTATACATTATCTAAAATCTAAAATATATTTTAAAGTGGTTTTTATAATGTTTTAAACCACAAATCAATTTACCACTATTCTTTTATTATATGGGGTTATACAAAACATTGCACTTAAAGAAAATTATATAAATCAGTAAAATATTGTTACGTATCTGCTTGTTTGATAATTCCCGTAAACATTCTTTCCGAGGAACTTCGGCGATACGAGTTCTTTCTTAATTAAAACTAGTTTGTACTTTCTCGTTATAAACTTTGTAATACAATTAATTTCCACAGTCCCTTTAAAGTTAACTAATTTTATAAATACACGCTATAATTCACAACGATTCACGTATTTTACTTACGGTGCCTACAGCTCGCTTGACTCAGTTATCTATCTCTGTATCTGTCTATCTGCAATTATTATCTCCGCTTTATTTGCCAAGCGTATATACTAAAATAGAGGGCGCCCACAAAAGACTAGAGTTGCCAGGAACACTCATGATCCTTCTAGAAACTCCAGCGCGCATGGTTCCAGCGTCACGTGACTTCTGCTGTCATAATACTGCCCCTTCCTTAGTATTGTTTGTCTCGAACAATAGCCAGTTACATTAAACCAATAGACAATTAACAATAACTTAATTAAATGGACAGAATTTACAAACACAAAATTAAAATTCAACAAAGTCTCTTAATTTTACGGGACGTATCTTCTTCCTTACTGGTCTCCGTCTCGTTGGCTTCTGCTTCACGTAGGGTTCATCTGCTCCATCAGGAAATGTCCTATTATCGGTAACAGTCACATCATTGGAAGTAACTTCATCAAGGGCTTCACTGTTTCCCTTCTCAAAACCGGGTAGAGTTTCTTCTTCGACAGTGGCTTTTTCAGGTGACATGTCTTCAGCAGCGTCATTTGTTTCATTGTTCACTTCATTTCAACTGAAATGTCCTGGACCGTGATAACGCCAAAGTCTGTTGGCATGCACCACCTTTGGTTTACCTCACCAACCACATTTTATTTGGAAAGTCACGTCTGAGAGACGATCCACTATGTCATATGGGCCTTCCCATGGAGAAGACAACTTAGGAGACTTCCCTTTGGTCTTCCTGGGATTATACAACCACACCTTGTCTCCTGGTACAAAGCTGACTTCAGTAGATCTCTTATCATAACATAGCTTCATCGAATCAGCAGACGTTTTCAAGTTTGAACGCACTTGATGGTGAATATCATCCATCCTTTCCAATAACACTTTCACGAATTCTGACACATTTTCAGGCAACTCTTCGTAACGTGGGCATCCTGTTATCAGAATCACTGGCAACCGAAGTTCCCGACCAAACATCAGCCTTGCTGGAGTGTATCCAGTGGCTTCATGCTCTGCTGTCCTATAGGCCATCAACAGTGGAGGGAGTAAGACATCCCAGTCATCTTGGCGGCTATTTCAAAACTTTGCCAATTCCTGTCCCAGTGTCCAATTGTACTTTTCTATCATCCCATCAGACTGTGGATGAAGTGGCATTGTCCTGGTCTTTCGTATGCCAAACAACTTGCAGCATTCATGGAACACAGCTGATTCAAAGTTACGGCCTTGATCTGAATGCAGTTTGTATGGCATACCAAACCTGAAAAAGAAATCATTAATAGCCGAAGCTACAGTTGTAGCTTCCTGCTCTGGTATCACATATGCCTCAGACCACTTGGTGAAATAATCCATCACCACACAAATGTACCTGTTTCCAGCACGAGTTTGGGGCAAAGGACCAGCAATGTCAACGGCTACTCTTTCCATTGGTGTGCCAACTTGATATAACTTCATTGGAGCACGTCCCTTATGCTTAGGTACCCTTTTATCACAACATGTACTGCATGACCTGCTCCATTCTTCCACATCTTGCCTCATATATATCCAGTAAAATCACTGTCACAGGTGACTCAATGTCTTCATAACTCCGAGATGTCCTCCTGTTAAACTATCATCGGATTGACGCAGCACAACTTCCCGTAACTTTCTCGGTATAACTGTTTGCCAGGTCGTCACTTCCCATTTGCAGTTTCCCATCTCCGGAGAAGAATACCATCTTCAAGCTTCAACTGGTCCCATTGTGCCCAATAGTTCTTTGTCACATGGCTTATGCTAGACATCTTCTCCCAAGCAGGACACAAAACACTATCTTTTAGAAAATTATGTATTGGCTTGAAAT